ATAATCTCCCGCCATAATTTAATTTTGATCGGGAAATTTCATTTCGCAAACTACAGATTTTCCATTTCGTCTCGTTTCGTTTCGAAAACTGCAGTAAGCATCGTAATTGTCAGTTTCACTCCAGGTGTGAGTAGGAATTAGCAGGAGTTTGGTGAGAGATCGCGTTTCAAGGAAACTGTAAAATTGGATTAATAACAAGCTGATTTTTTTTTCTCGGGCATCCGTAGAAAAGCCAGAGTCTAAAAATGGAAGCCGTTTTGATTGGTCGCCAAAAGGGGAGTCATGGTCCCAGGCGTTCCTTGTGTAAACTGTGGAAACTGGGGATGAGAGTGCGACGACTTACGTTATCGTGAGCTCGCTCTTCATAAACAACGTAACTTACAGAATGCTATGGGTCTCTATTGGCAGACAAGGAGCTAAATCATTCGATCGGATATTGCTGCGGTATCATCGCACAATATGTATAACAGAGGTATCAAAATTTATGCCCATCGCAACGTACAGGTGTATTACTGCGAGACTATTTCTAATGCCTTTCCTAACGAATTGCCATCGAAATTAAGAAAAGAATGATGTCGAGATTTTAGCCGTTTCCGGACCCTCGAAATGTAAAATGGTCGAAGAATGGTCCTACCCCCAAATGCTTTACATAAAAGATGTTCCTTTCCAGTGATGGGAAAGGGACTTCTCGTCATTTTTTTTTCTCTTATTGCGCGTGCAAAATAGCTCAGTAAAAAGAACGATCGAAATATTATTCAAATTTTGTTGGACTCTCCTAAATCCGAACTCTGCACATCAAAACATGCTTTTTAAAATGTTTATCGTTCTTGGAATTTTTCCTTTTAGTGCAAGAAGAAGCACAGGACGTAGACGCTTATCAAAAAAAGTCGTGACAGCAGACCAGAATGTCATCAAGTAAATATTGTTGTGCTCATTTTGTTTTGTCTGTCATTTTTTGTAATCAAACTCATATTTGGGTGAACAAAATAAAATTGTAGTGTCTGAATTTGGTTTCCACTCAGTTAGTGCTATGGTGGAACAGTGATAACACAGACCCTTATAACAGTGAAATGGTACATTTTACTGTTGAAATAATAATTATAGGTACCAGTGATAAAAATGCAAACCAATGCAAGGAAGTAATAGCTTGATAATTTAAGAAAATATAGTTTTCAACTTTTTTCGGTGATATCTGACCACAATTTGTTTTGTCTGACCAAGATGGTGTCTTAGCAGGACCTACAGTACCTACATTTTGGTCACCCAATGTACTTTAAGAGAAAAACATTGCAGCTATTGATTAGCGATGCTTT